TCTGAGATAGGACATTCCAGCCATTTGTTGGGAATGCAATAACTCAGGGAGGCTAGCTTAAATGACCACCCAACTCCTTACCTAATCCTATACTGTAGTAGTGGTTGTAGTCCCCTATTCCATGACTATTTTACCTTTGGCATGGCTTCCCTTATTTCCAGAAATAGCATAATTAAAATGCAATATCCCAAAGATGTTTTTTTTCCAAAAGACAACTGGACTTTGTTTTTTCTTTGAATACATTTTGCTTCTTAACCAAGAAGCTTCTTCAGTTCTGACTGAAGATATTTAAAATGGAATGGGAGAAGAGGTTAAATTATGTTCAGTTTGTTTGGAATCATGATTTGGAAAGCATTCATAATGCATCAATGTCTGTTGCTTTAACAATACTGCAGGTAGACAAAAGCTAAATATACTCCTGCAGCTGAACCAAACTTTCTAAGAAATTGTTTGTGCAGTGTGTGAAATATAGGTTTTTTTCATTAGCTCCTGAATTTCTCAAGATAAGTAAGCCCACATCTTGAACTCTCATCTTCCTCAGCCAATCTGGATGTGGTGTTAAGAGATGATAGTAACAGAGTTACTAGATTTAATTATGAGTGATTTTCCACTTCAAGAAAATCTATTTCAAATTATGTCAAATTTACATCTTCAGAAAAGAAATTCATAGAAAGAATAGTGGAAGCTTGTAACCAGCTTTCAGTGGAGGTAGTGGGTCAGTCATCAGTAACTGACTGAAACGTGCTTGGGATAAACACTTAGCAATAGCAGTTAGACTTATATACCGCTTCATAGGGCTTTCAGCCCTCTCTAAGCGGTTTACAGTCAGCATATTGCCCCCAACAACAATCCGGGTCCTCATTTTACCCATCTTGGAAGGATGGAAGGCTGAGTCAACCCTGAGCCGGTGAGATTTGAACAGCCGAACTGCAGAACTGCAGTCAGCTGAAGTAGCCTGCAGTGCTGCATTTAACCACTGCGCCACCTCGGCTCTTAAACTTGCCCATCACCTGACAAAAAATTAAAAGTAAGATAAAATTAAAAAATAAAGATAATAAAGACATTAAAAAGAAAAAAACCTCAAAGACTTGATGGACCATTAGGTCTTTTTCTGCTGTTAGTTTTCTATTTTTCTCAAGAAACAGATTCTTCTCCTAGTTTCTTTAGCAAGATATGGTGAAAAAAGATGGATAGGCTAACAATAATTTCATCAACTGAACTAGATGAGCTTCAGAAAGGTTCTCCACTTTTAGAGAGACAAGCCAATCAGGAAATTGTGTTTAGTAAAAGGGGCCTATATTCTCATTCACAGTAAAGCAGGGCTGCATGTCCATAATCTAAATATGATAATATCTCACAAATGAAGGCAAATATACATTTCCCAGGATAATGATGTGGATTGAATTTGGGTCAGTCCTGGTGACTAATCCAAATTTGACCTCACTGTAATATCTATTTCTCTATATTGAAGAAAAAGAAAGAAAATTGGGGAATTATCATTCTGCAATTGGTGGTGAATATCATTTTAAGTTCTGCATTATCCTGCACTCAAGATCTTAGCTTTCAAAATGTACCAGAGTTGAAATTTGTCTGGCAAATGTGTTTCTAAAAATCAGGACTCATTAACACAAGATACTTCAGTGGCATTCTTTCCCTGAACTAATGTAATTAGTGAAGCCATCAAGACTGCACTATTAAAGTGGGAACACATTATAAGGCGTTCATTGAGTTTTATTTTTTTTAATATACATGCTTAGATTCAAAGAGGTGGTGCTATTAATCAACAGCCTGGTACAGCAAGTCTCTGGTACTAAATTACCGACTAAATCACAATTGATTTGAGTCTGTAGCATTCCCAATGACTAGTATGACTAATGACAAAGAATTATAGGAACTGTAGACAAGATTTCAATGAGCATCACACTCCTAATTTAGCAAATGGCTTGCTTACATACAGAATTATCTATTTACCCTAAAAAAGAAATATGCGCATGCACGCACGCACGCACACACAAAATTTATGTAGAATTTTGTATTGGCCAACAGACTTGTCTTCTGTCTTCATACAATGGATCATCCTTTATTTTTAGCAACTCATCTCCCAATATCATCTAAATTGTTCATTTACAGGTAGTTCTTGACTTGCAGCTGCAATTGGCACCAGAATTCTTGTTGCTAAGCAAAGTGATGGATAAATGAGTGGCACTTGATTTTATGACCTTTTTTCTCATATTGAGTTAAGTGAGTCACACAAACACTAAGTGAATCAGGCTTCCCCCATTGACTTTGCTTGTTGGAGCTAGTTGTGAAGGTTACAAATGGTGAACATGTGACCCCTGGATCTTGAAGCCTTAGAATATACATGCTGTTTGCTAAGCAACTGAATTTTGATAGGATGACTGTGGGGATGCAACAAGAAGTGTGTGGATTGATTGTATGCCACTTTTTTCAGTGCTATTTTAACTTCCAACAGTTGCTAAATGAATGGTTATAGGTCAAGGACTACCTGTATCATTTATCTCAGGAGAATGAATCACAAAAAAAGCTGTAATTTAAATATTATTATTATCACTACAAGAAAAGCTGCAAGTGAATTTTGTAATTTGGCAACATTCCTGCCAGTTAACCGTGTCCATCCCAGAGTGCTCCTTTCCATTCTTACTCATATATGTTTTTGTAGCCCAATAATGATGGAGCACAGCCCCACCCTTATTGGGCTGTTTCCTCACACCCATCTAACAACATGCTTCTTCTAAATGACTGCATTCCTCATCTTGTTCGTTGACCGCCATTTCACTATACAGCCATTAGCCACAGTACCAGAGTTTGCTATAAGAAGGGCAGATTGATTAGCTTTTATTAATATACACATTAGACTAAGTTCAGCCTTCAGGTCTTCCAATATCAAGCCAAACACTTTGTTTTTAATGATGAATCAGTCAAGTCTTGGAAATATACATTTGCAATACTACTTTAAAGGAGGATATTTGTAGCGCAGGGTTGAAGTGAGAGATCTTTAGTGCTCTCTGAACTTTGTTGTTCACTTGCAGATGTTTCATTACCCAAACTAGGTAATATCACCAATGTTAGTGACTAGCAAGGAAAAACAATCAAGCAGAGAGAGCACCAAGGATCCTTCACAATACCATTTTGCATGGCAACAGCCTAGAAACACAAATGGCAAACTACATTTTCACAGGCAAATCTATAGTTAAACCCAAATTAATTTTTTTTTTAAGGAGACAGTTCGGTGTAGTGGTGGAGGTACTGGCGTAGAATTCAGGAGATTGTGAGTTCTAATTCTGCTTTAGGCATGAAAGCCATCTGGATGACCTTGGGCCAGACTCTCTCACTCTCTCAGCCCAACCCACCTCAAAGGTTGTGGGGGGAAAGAGGAGGAAGAAGTATTATGTACATTTGCCACTCTGAGTTATTTATAAAGTAATAGAGGCGGCTTTAAAAATCTAATACATTTCATGCTTGTTTACACCTTTTGCTTCTAATTTTGGTAAACTTGTTCTTTTTATTGTGGCTTTCTGATGTAGTAGACTTTTCTATTTCTATTTGAAGGCATGCTTTCTGAGTCCCAGCCAAACATTTTCAATCCCAATGTTGAATGGCCTCTCCATGAATACATCAAGGCAAAATTTGAAATAGTTAAGAGAATCAAATAGCTCAATTCTGAATTGAATATAACAACACCCCCACCCCCCACTATTTTTTGAGAACTTCACTTACTCTTAAGATTGTCCTATGGCACAGGATGGGCAATTTCTGGCCCATGAAGTCATATGTAAGCTTGCATCTTTTTATTTGCACTTCCTGGAGCCCCCTTCAGTTGACAAATTTCTCTAGCAATTTGTTGAATTATGGTATTATTATTATTATTATTTGCATTTAGAAAAGTAAATACCATAGCTATTTGTGAAATCTCCTAGGCTTTAAAAACCTGTTTTGCTTTAAAAGCAACAATAAACTTATTCCCAATTTCCCTATAGGGATGAACATTACAATCCCACTTCATCCAGAAACATCATTGTGTACCAATAGTGATTCTCAGATGCAGAACAATTTTTAAAGGAAGTGCAACTCCCCTCTCTAAGCTGCTCCTTTGACTCTTATAACATTAATCTGCCTTGATATTTTCATTTCTTCTGCAATCCAAATGGGAGGCCTATAAAAGGCATTAATGGAATTTAATGAAAGTTATACAACCCCTTCTTGAAATCATGTTCATATCTCTCAGTGTATGAATTTCTGGAGCAGTTATCCATTTGTATTCATACACTGCAGACACCATAAAAATACTTTCCATGCCACCTTTCCATACCTGGCTATCTTGTTGGGTGAGGGATTAAATAGTTTTTGTTCAAGAAACAGAGAGAAGAAAAAAGGCCAACATCACGATGAAAAGAGGATTTTATATTTGAATCCTCATTAATGGGTTACATCCTATCCACCTATCTATACAAAAATTTCCTCTTGCTCTTCTATAAGGACTCTCTTGAAGAACATTTTTAGCTACGTCAGCCAAGTGCATTCATGCAAGTTCCTCCCCTGCAATGTTTGAAAAACTGAACAGGGTTGGAAACAAAATCTTGCTATTTATATGACCAGATGGTAGGACAATTGGAATACAAAACCAGGAACAATACGTACGTACATACATACATACATATATATATATATATTATATACATATACATTTATACTTGTGAGATTAAATTTAAGATGTTTTGTTTTAAATCTGATCTGCTTTTCAGGAGATTACAGTTCCCTGTCCACCTTTCATCCAGTTAGAGCATTTTGTATATCTCTTATACTATCTTGCTGGATGCAGATCTACTTAATCTGCTGCAATTCAGTATGGAGATGAAGGAGAGTCTTTTCGAGCTACTTTCCATGGTTTTCATTTTGTATGTATGGGAATTCCCATGTTATTAGGAGAATGGCACAATTTCTCCTGTTGTGGCTATTTCTGCAACTTCTTCCATCTGTATGTATAAAGAGAACATAGTATAGGACGTGTTATTTTGAATGACATCACTCAATCATACACATCTAAGTTCCTACCGAACCTGGATCCTTCAAGCGCCAGACAACCAATTCCATTATCACCCCAGCAGTTGATGGAAAATGTGCTGCAACAAATATAACACATAAAGGGGACCGAGGCTGTAAATTGGCTGAACTACACTTGCAGTAAACTTTTAAGCAATTCACAGAGCACTAAAATGCATACTCCCCACGTTATATGTGCATGAACATACAGTATGATGCCTTTAGCTTTAAGAGCAGTGAGTTTTAGGATAGATATGTGAGAACATTTACAATGTGACCCTTTCTATGTAGAGGAGATAGGAAAGTAGTCTTTCCCAAATCATTTGATTCCCCACTTCTAGGCTAAAAAAATTGGACTTTTCAGTTTTTTATTTTTGATTAATGAATCCAAAATATTTGCCATACTGAAGTCCTTGTTCATAAATCATGGCATGTGTATAGAATACCCATTCCATATATAAATTAAACTTTGGAAAATAACCCACCAAATTGTCACTTTTGACCAAAGTGAGTATATAAGCAGATCATGGAAATATGCAAAGATTAACCTAACTTTGGGAAGTGATCTTCTTGAATACTCATCTTATGTGTGAACAGTTTTCACACATCAAACCTTTGAATTCCAAATAATGAAGGATAAAATGAATGATTTTTATCACAAACAAACTACACGTCCTCATGACGAGATCTGGAAATTTCTAGGTGAATCCTGGAGAAATAAGTGAAAGAAATCATCATCCTTCCAAATAAACCAACTTCTTCATAATGCCGACCCTGGTATTCAATCTCTTTCATCACCAGTATCTTATTTTCCACAGCAGTATTAATCCAAGAACACCTCTCTCAAATTATAGGAAGGAAATATCTTGGGATTTTCCTCCCAACAGTGAAAAAGTGCATGAGCACCCGAGGACCAGAACATGACAATTCTAAAGGAAACCATCTAGAACTTTCCTGACAGAATACTATTTTAAAATAATTAATTCCAAGCTTTTGAAGTAATATAGTTCAGTTCTTTTTGACAAAAAAAAGTCACTTTTCCAGCAACTTTACAAAATATATTTCTACTGCCACTTCTCATAGAAGATATTAAATAAATAACCGAGGGCAGTTAACAACGCCGTTAAAAATACTGTCAAAAGACTTAATATTACCAGAATTAACCTGGCATTGTTCAATAGGTGGTGCTGTGATTTGATGAGAGAAATTGCATGATTTGACCCTCCCCCCCCCCCTTTAAAACATTATATACTTTAAAACAACAAGATAAAACAATCTAGAACAGTTGTTTCTGGAAGTTTTGCCAACCTGTATCTTCTGGGTGTCCTGAATTACAATGCTCATCTGCTGGCTTGGAACCATATGAATTATAACTTCATCCATGGAGAACACCAGCAAGGGAAGGAACTCTCATATTTTTCAACTCTCATGAACTTACTTTATATGCAAAATCTTATACGGGGACTTGATTATGGGTGCATGTTTAAAAATTATTTAAATAATACAACATTCAACTAAAATCCAGGCACAAGAATAAGTCTAAATAACTAACAAGAAATATTCTGTCTAAGAAAGTAACAAGGATAGACATGTCTGGTTTCATACATCATGTACACTATGATATGTTTACTGTAGTTTATTGACTAACCTTCAATTGTGCTGGATTTGCACATGGTAAATGTCCAACAAACTACAGTATGCCTTGGTATGTTGTATGAACCAAGCCCATTAATAGAGAAAACATTTTTTGGAGATCCTTCTTGAGTTTCAGCATGCTACACTTCACAAGTCTTGTCTTTTTTCCTTACTCTCTTTAATATTATCCCTGCATAAAACATTGGCCATTAATCCCAGTTACATAGATCCTTCACACTAACATTGCGTAGCTTATAAATTGACCATGAAACTGATGGAATACAGAAGATTTCAAGACTTGTGGTGCCAAGAAATGTTCTTTTGCAATCTCTTCTCTGTGGTGTAATATTTGATTCTGAATGAATAGCTTTTTGGAATATTGTTTCCTAGCTGATGATTCATAAGCATGCAGGAACATAGAATAACAACTATAGCATTCCGCTTTGCTTCATTAAATAGAGGGAAAGGGTAGGAGGCAAAAAAAGTTGAAGTCCTCTGGCACCTTGGACAGCTTTTGTAACTCACTATCAGCATCTGATGTAACTCAACACTGCTGCGGCATAAGATCTCCCAGGTAGCTAAGGTGTTGCAGCATTTTGGACCTTCCTGTAGTTACTGTCTACACTAACTGTTCCTTCAGCAAAGAAATGTGTTGAAGTTAAGATACTGACAGGTTAACACATGTGCGACACATGACATTGTGTCACTGCCAGGGAGAGCAGTATGCCAACAAGAGAGATGAACTCTAAATCCCAGCACTAAATGGATCTGTGCAGTGGTCCTCAGACCTGATGTAATGAATGAAAACAAAACACAATAACCCTTACCATTAAATTAAAAAGACAAGATTCATTGTACAGTTTGCTTTTGACCACCAGGGCTTTGTTTTCATGTTTTGCTCCTAATTAGTTCCAGATTCCAATTTCCCCAGCAAACCCTGATGCTGACAGTGGTGAGATGGATCCAGCACAAACTGGTGGCCTTTGGAGATGCAAATACAGAATGGCAGTTCCATGTTTTTCTAAAGTTTCTGGCTTCATTTCCTGGCTACAGCTGCCTTGATATATTTGCTCTCAGCAATTACGTCTGAACCCTCAAGTCCTTTGGGAGAGTCCAGTTTGTTAGTCTCCAGAATGTAGATTCCCAGGAATCTTCCAAAAAAATAGGAATAAAATGTAATGAGGAAAAGAAAAACAGGCTGATACTTCTTCCCTGATGTAAAAGTCAGTTGCCAGCAGGGATGTCCCAAAGATGGCCAGCAAAACCTCCTGCTGGCTCATTTGTTAGGAAACAGATACAGTTCCCACCACAAAACATAGAGAACAATGGATTCCAAGTTGCCCAAAGGATGGAAAACTAAAGATCTTCCCATCTCAAAGCTAGACAAGTGTCCCACCCTCCACCCCACCCAGCTCATAAGATCAAGATTCAGGAAGCAAAATGAAAACCGCTGGTCTTATTTGTCACCAGCAGAGTCTTTCTATGTTCTAGTTGCCTGCACCACTGAAGAGCCAACAAGTCAATGTATAGACATGGGGCATCAGTCCCAATCCATAAAGGTTCTCATCAGGCAGATGGGACAGAAGACATACATTACTGTACACAGATGACCACCTTCCCGCCCTCCATCATCTGTTTCTCCAGTTGACACAAGATGCACACCAGACACAGAAACTGAAAATGATCCATCACCATCAAGAGGTGGGTTGTGTCTCTGCAGTCCATCTAGAATTTCACCACCCCACCTGGTCTTTCACAGCCTCATACTCAACAGATGGCAAGGTCATCTGCAGTAGTTCTTCTGACAGTGCTGGGCTTTACAGTATTTCCCCTGCAGTAAAATAAAGGGAACGAGGCACAGGATGAGGAAGAATAAAGACTGGGCATGGGTGGAAGAAAATTCTAAAGATGTCCCTTGCGAATAATAGTAATAGTTAATAATAAGATGAATTAATTTCTCTGGTTGGTTTATATGTTTTTCTGCTCTCTCTCTCTCTCTCTCTCTCTTTTTAAGTCGTGTTGGAATTTTTCAAAGTCTGCAGCTTCGCCTCCAGTTCAGAGATCTGAAAAACACATAACAGAAAGGGATAAAGAGAAATTCTCCAGGCAGAGTAAGGAGCGTTTGGGATGGGGAAGAGGTAAGGTGGACTTAGGAAAGAAATGCAGATGATGTGGCTGGAGCCAATGGTCTGGTTGGCTCAGATTGGCAGATAGCAATATGAAATGGCTAAAGGAAAAAATGGTGAGGGGAAAAAAAATTAAGGGCAGTGAAGATAATGTTAAAATGTATATGAATACAAATTAGGAGACCTTGTTTCCTGCAGATTTCAAATAGCTTAAGTCTGTCATCTCTTTTCATGTCATTTTCATTTCCTGTTGCATTGCTATACATCAAGTTCTTTATAGTTTGCGGAATTACCTTCCCAGTACTCCTCATTACTAAACATGCTGACTGGGGTTGAAGGCATGAATTAGAAAAATCTGCAGGACTGCAAGTTATACACATGGCAGAGATATTTCTGGATGACTCTGTTTCTTATTCATTAATAGAAAGAGAAGAAATGAGCGTCTACTAAAATAAAATATATAGACTTACCTCCCATAACGGTGATATTATACTTTCAGATCATTAACTATCATATGTGAGAGGATGTATGTAAATCCTTGACAGTAATAATGGATTACTTGGATATGGGGGCCACACTTGGGGACAAGAGTTCCATCTATTAAAAGAAGTGGGTTGTATTATCCACATCCACAAAAGATCTGTGGGTTGGCCATCTACCTGATTCAATGGCAACTGTAGATCTTCAGGTAGTAGAGATGGCAAGGAATGCCACAACTACACGACTTTACACAACTATGCTTTCGGCATTAGAAACAAACTTTCCTGAATTGATGTAATTTGGCAACATTTACCAATGCACCAATTTACCAATTATATCATATTTAGACTACTACAATGCAGTGAGACTACTCTGAAGAATATGAAAAACTTCAGTGCATTCAAAAATGCAGTGAGACTACTCTGAAGAATATGAAAAACTTCCATTGATTAAAAAAAATGGAGGTACCCATATAGGCAATGAGCTCCCTAAATTAGACTTAGATTTTTTTTTAAAAAAAATACAGAATCTGTTTTAAAGCTATTCCTAATTTACAAAGGAAAAAAATGTGGCTTTGCTGCCAAATATCACAGTCCTGGGAGAAAAGTTCTGAAGAGCCTCAAAAATGGGACTTAGGGTATGTAGTACATTTCATGAACCATTGTTTGCTCACATCTGGAATAAATGGCTAAACAACCCTTTCAATTAAAGCTTAAGTGGTAGGGAACTTTACAGACATCTAGATGTTAGACTATGCCTATAATCCTTGACTTTTGGCATGCCAATGGAAGACAACATCACAATGATGTGTTCTGTTTTCAAGCTTGGACTTAACAATCACAAAGCTATTGTCTTAGAAACATTACTGCAGTAGGTAAATAGATTCAACATCTTTGGAAACTCAATTTTGGCTATCCTTCCTTCTAACACTTGTCCCAACATTTCTGTCATTGTGCCCTTTATTTATTTATAGGCTGCCCAATTTCACCAGCACTGTCCATCAAGGTACTTGTTTTAGAAACCTTGTGAACAATTAGCTACTGCGCCAAAACAGAAGGAGAGAAGAAAATGTTGATCAGCAACATACATGGGGAACAGGTCAAGGAGAAATCAATGGAGCAATGATGATGAAAGAACCGTTTGGGGAAAAACAGAATGTCATGGAAGCAACAACTGGGAAAGCAGATGTCAACCCTTGACTTTGTGGCTTAAAGAAAGGTTAAACTCTTTAAAAAAGGAATGGAATTATAGTGAAATCCTGTACTTTTAATAATAATGGTTTGTAATGTTTATGTTTGTTAGATAAAAATTAGACTGTCCAGATTTCAAAAACAGTCAGGGAATGTACACTTAATTCAACTTTGTAAAAGAAGGAAGATCTAACATAACTAAGCATAACCAGTTCCCTCTGCCCATAAATCTATTTTTTTCTAAGCCTTTTTTCTAAGTCTGAATATCGCAGCAGAAAACAGAGGGATTTTTTAAAAAAATACGTTATGTACAATCTAGATTGAGGCAGCTCATTTCTATCATTTTTGTAATCAACCACTACCTCACACAGGTCTACTTCCAGGCAAGGTTATTATTTTTCACACAGGTACTCTCTCTGGGATATATACCAGCTTGCCTGGTCTATCCTAAGGTCATACTCTTACTTTCTCCAGCCACCACAATCATAGCAAATGTTCCCCAATTCAGTTAGTTTTCCATCTGGCAGCCCAGGAATAAAAAAAAATGTTGCATGAATCTATGTAAAACTAAGGTTTAATCCCTTCAAAAAAGTAAGGCTGACTACTGCTAACTTCAGCTTTTATACCTGTGAACCTGGCTCTTTTCATTTGTAACTAATAATCAATGGGTCTGTTTCCATGATCAGGGTCAGGATGGTGAGTGAGGGGAAAGACCACTTCAAAAAGACATAAGTTTTTAGGGGCTGAATTTCCAACAATGCACTGCAGAGGGAGCTGGTGAATAAATAGCCATTAGAGTTTTAAGATATTCACAGAAAAGGTTTTCACTTTGGTTTTGGCTTCCATATCAGTGTTTCCTATCTGTGAAACTATCACAGAAACTCAGAGCCATTCACACACACAGAAATGTACATGCATGTGCACCAACATTTAACATACAAAAGCATGAAAATACCCTGACAAAACTGATATGGTAACTCTGCCTGATGTAAGATCTAAGATGTGGCAGATTCCCCATGGCTCAGTAAGAAAATCATTGTATGTATGTATGTATGTATGTATGTATGTATGTATGTATGTATGTATCAGGGGTGGGTTGCTAATCCTGTTCCAACCGGTTCGGTTGGAACGGGGCCGGCGGCATCCTCGTGCACGCGCGCAGTTCACGCATGCGTCTTAGCACCTGCGTGATGCTCCAGCTGTTCGCGGAGACTCGCGCAGGCGCTGTATGTGCCATGCGCCTGCGTGGAAGCGCAGAAGCCTTCAAAGACCGGTAAGAAGCGTGGGTGTGCGAGTGGGCCCTTCGCCGTTCCCGGAAGTTACTTACTTCCGGGTTCGCCGACCAACCGGTTCGCGGGGACCGCCACGAACCAGTTGAAACCCACCCCTGGTATGTATTTATGTGACCATGAGATCTGTTGCAGAATGAGGCCTGAAAGTCCCATTCAGAGAAAATGTACATGAAGAAGAGACAATTCCTAAATTAAGATTGAATAGTAGAGATCTATATGGATCTGATATGCTTTGATGTAAAATCAGATAGGTTTCTCAGACTGAAGGACCTGGGGGGGAGGGGGAGAACAATGGATTTAATATCTGATGGAAATGTTCTCAGGTAGAAGCTTCAGAAAGATACAGTTAAAGGATTTCCACTATGCAAATATAGGATCCTTGGGTGAAAAGGGTATGAGATGAAATTATCAATCAGACAGAAGGATTCAAGATATTCCCCTCTCCTCTCCCAGCTGCAGGAGCTACTGCTTAACTAATGATTGGTTGCTTCAGATGAAATCCTCTAAGATAAAAACATTCATGCCCAGAAATAAAACAGATCAGAAAGGCTGGCATGTCCCCCTCTTCCTCCCCCTTCTGTCAGCCTTGTGACAAGTGCTCATATTTACAGCTAGGTCCTTCTAAAAGCAAGCGTTTTCTCATGCGTCCTGAGGCAGAACTATGGCCTCTCCATCCCTTTCCTTCTTTCTCGTTCCTTTTGGGGTCATGGTAAGCCCCCAGCACTGTCCTTGATGCCCACCTTCTCTTGCAGCTTGTCAACTTCCTCCTTGTGAGCCAATTCAGACTCCTCTTGGATGCGACGCTGAGCTGTCTCCTTCTTGAGGAATTCAATTTCTCTGCAGGCGGAAAAAGGAGGTGGAGGTTAAAAATCAAAGTCAAAAATGCAGAAACTATCCAATGGCGGAAAAGGATGGACCATGCTAGCATAGGATCACAACTTCTTTTAGGCAAAAGAATGATATTTGCATTTGAATGACATATTGTAAGCTAAAAGAAGGTACAAAAAGGTAAGCAGGCCCAATAGAAAAAGTATTTTTTATTTACTATATATCAATTATATTTTAAATTATTAAGTATTTGTCTCTATTTAAATAATAATTTCCCCTTTTGTTAAGTGAAATGGCAATTTAGTAGCAACTTCAGCAAAAGTTGTGCAAACTATGCCTAAATATTTCAGGAAAGTATATTTGACTCTGGAACCCTCTAGTTCAGATGAATGTTCTGCTTTTTTTAAAAAAAGCAGTTTATTCAACACATCTAACAGAACAGACACTTGAATAATTTCTCTGTGTAAAAAAATCCTCACCATAAGTGAACATTCTTCAAAATGCATATATTGGGCACAAAAACAATAATATCTTTTTCTCTCTTGAAGTATTATTTGCAAGAAACGGGGTAGGTAAGTAGATGATAGATAAATTAGATAGATAGATAGATAGATAGATAGATAGATAGATAGATAGATAGATAGATAGATAGATTATGCATTAAGCATATAATTCCATACCTTTTGAAACTGACCAGCATTTTCAATCATTTCCCAATTCCATCCCACTTATATAAATTAGACTATAGTTTCTGCCTACAGAGTAAATATTCTGTAAAAAGCCGCTCACTACCAGTCACCAAACTGTGAAATGGTTCAGCTAGTAATTCACATATAACATATATAGACAAAAAAGAGAGGGAGGATCATTTTGCTTAGTTATTTTCCCTATCTGTCTCACATCCTTTATCAGCTTGATTTTTAAAAACCATATTAAAACTACTAAAGGTGTTTTAAGAAACCGTGTGGAGTAATGTTTATTTTGATAGGTGGTTTGATCAGCATGCTGCCTATTTTGATTTGTTCTATATGCCTACCAATCCCATTGGATGGTACAGTGCTAATCCAAGTATCCTGGCTTTGGGAAATGGCTTTGTAAGCATGCTTATGATAGAACAGAAGTGATGGAGGTTGAGAATTATGAAGCAGATCTGGCGTTCTAATTCTTACTTCTGTTGATACTCCTTAATAAGTCGCTTAGCTTTGCTGTATTTCCTTTCCAGAGTCTGGTACTGGGCCTGGGTCTCTTTTAAGTGCTCATCCACAGCCTGGCATAAGTTCTGAGCCTCCATCCAGTATCCTTCCAGTTTCTCCATCCGCTCCTTGTTTTCTTCTACGCTCTGTTCCAGCTGGGCTTTCTCAATGCGCCAGCGAGCTTTCTCCTGTTCAATTGATTGTAGCTGAAGATAGAGAATTTGAGAGGAAATAGTTATGTGTTAATTGATAAGTTAATTAGTTGCACTGCATTCATTTCACTTGGTGTAGGATAAAATAAATAACCAAACAAATAATTATCTTAATGAAAATCAAGGCCAGACAAACAAAACCAACAAAAACAAAGAACAAATCGAACAACTATTCATAAGGCACCCACAGCTCCATATCTTTACACTGGAATGAAAGCTTGAGAAATTCATATTGTTTACAAAGTCAGGAACTGTATTTGAAATCTGAACATATCTTGATAGATAACCCAGGCTGACATAAATTTGCAAATTTACATCCAATTGTAATGTAGGACTGGATGGACTAGACAACTGGAATCTGATGCTCTCAATTTCTTTCTGAATTCTGTCCATCTGCCATAATGGAAAATAGTAGAAATTACAATAAAAAAGTGAAGAATGTTAAGTTGAAATATGTTGTGCTATGCTTAAAATTCCTTCCTAAGCAGCTTCATACAAAAGTTGCAATATTTCTTTCAGACGTGGATGACAGTGAACAGGTGTTAGTTTAATTGGAAAGGGGAAAATTAGTACTCTAAGCTTGACTCTAAGATAGTCTTGTTGCAAGCTGGATTATTCTTGCTTCAGCTCTTTTAATACCAAACCAGCTGACTTAAGAGCCTTACAGCTTAAAACAGTGTAAAGGAAGTTATAAGTGGGCAGCTAGCAACTTACACAGCAGAACTCTTGCTATGGAAAGAAAAAAAAATGCTATGATTTATTGCCATTATAACTGTATTTTAGAAACCATTTTTTAAATCTTTGGAATAGCTCATATCAAAGATGGGCAAAGGAAAAAGCACAAGTAGCATATTCCAATTAAAGTTCAAAGGGGCCAGAAGGAATGTCCACGCAATAAAGTAGGAGATGCTGTCCAACTATTGAAGATCTAACCATGGGAAACAAGGAAGGAAGTCATAACAAGAGAGAATTTCCAACTGGTAGCATCCTAGCAGTTCAGTTGGAAAGTCAAAACACTGAAGACAATAGAATTATCCATGAAAAAATTGTACTGAATTAATACAATTGTCATGGTGGCATTTTATATAGCTGGGGGGGGGGGGGAGATTCCACTCCATTTTAACTATACGAAAACTCCTTTTTTACAAAAACTGTAGTGCCAAGGACTACCCAGTGAACAAAAGCTAAATATAGATGATGGCCATGTCGTCCCGTTTGGCTCCTTTGAAAATTCAAAGAGAAGTCCTTCATTTGTTCTTCTGCCCATCCCATTTCAAATGCTTTGCACAGCACTATTAAAAATAGTTCAACTATTACAAGGCACATCTACAAAGCCAGTTCTTGCAGCTTTTCTGGAAAACATTCTCAAGAATGGATTTTGGCAAGTCTCCAAGGGAAGCAAAGGATTTTATGGCTGTCCGCACAGCCTTCATTCTTACCTTTCTTTTCAGCTGCTGTATTTCGGCTTCAGTCACAGCATGCTTGATCTGGAGCTGCCAAAGGAAGACATAGCAAGTTTAACTCCTTCCCTAGTTTTCATACATAAATCAAGAAGCCCCATAGCTTATGATTGCATTACAGAGAGAAAGGGTTTGCTTTAGGATTTATTTTATTAAAAAATAAAAAGTAGGCAAAACATTTTCTAAAGATAAATAAATAAACAAATTAGGAGGCCAGCTTTCATTTCCAATATGCTGATGAGTGTTAATTTTAGTCGTGTTCAGGCTGCAATACTTCAACAATCAAATCATGCCCTTTGCCATTTTGGTCTACTTATTATTCCTGCACAAAATATTTTTTGTTTGACTTCGGTCATCTTTCTATAGGGACAAGAATTAAATTACAATAACGCAATCACTACCTTCTGCAGAATTTCTGTGAGGTGTGCTTTATCTGAGTAATTTGCACCACAGCAATACTTGCATGCCAATATCTTTTTCAACAAAGACACATGCCTGCAGGTATGAATAGTTTTTATCAAGAATTAGAAGTACCCTTTGCTAAAGCCACCAGCATCTCACAGTTCTGAAAAGAGAAAATTGAGCAAGCAAGATATGCAGTACTATCCTTGCATTTACTGTCTTCTAATCTTCATTAGAACAAACAGATGGGGACCCCAAGGCAGGCGTTGGCTCAATTTTGCTCTTTCTCCACATCCTAAAATCAGAGCAGAGAATCCTGTGCTCCTCCTGTATTCCGTGGGTCTTCTTAAGACCCCAATTTAGCATTACTGTGATATTTATATGAACTCCTCTTCTCTGTCTTTCACCATGCCAGTAAATCAACCCTGAACAGCCATGACTGGATTGCTTAAATGAAAACTTGCTGACACACATTATAGGGTTGATGAGAGACCACTTCACACATTACTGGTGAAGCAATGAACATTAAACATTAAATGTTTTCCAACCAATCATTTCCAAATCCTTCCCTTTTTAAATTACCATTCATACACTGCAGATGCTTGGCCTTGAGAGCTAACCATCTGCAGCTCTTCATAGCACCTTTCTATAGTTGAAGAGGAAAGGGGGATAGGTATGGATGTGCCAGATCTGCTTACCAGACCTATAGAAATCATTCAAAAAGGATGCATAGCTATTTTGTGCACAAAGAACGCCAGGAACAGTATTTGAAGCAGCAATGTGAGCTGTGCAAATGTTGTTATGACTCATTCCCAATTTTTAGTGTTTATCACTATCATTTGCAAGATGTATGTCTGAAGGCATCTTGAATAGACTAATCTAAAGTGCATGATTCTTGGCTTTTGTAGGAATGAAGAAAATATAGTTTTATTAAGATTGCAGCACTAAATCACATGTCCTGGTACCAAAGAATATTTGTAGCTCAGGATTGGACTCCTTGATGCTCTCTGAGCTTAGTTGTTAGCACTGAAGATGTTATTGGTTGGGCAATGAAGCATCTGCAAGAAAACAATCAAGGACTCCAGAAATGTCCTACTCTCTGACGAGTAAAACTAAGAGAGGAGAAAACAAAATCCTTCTGAAGTGTTATATTCTATACTTCAAAACCATTCACCCCCAAAATAGGGTTATGACTACCACTATGACTACGCCACATCACTAGTGCCCTTTGCATATTACCAACCAGCAGAAAAAAGAAAAATGCCAATCAGAATACTTCGATAGAAATGGAAGTTGTCTATCTACACGATACCATTTGTCATCAGTAGGCTCTTTCCTTTGCTCCTCTTTTTCTACCATCTCCTGTCATAATCTGAGTTAAATTCAAACTGGATTTAATAGCAAAAGATCAGTCATGAAGAAATCTGAATCAGAAGATAGCACCTTCTCCTTTATAAAGGTAACAAATGTCAAATTCAAGTGCTCTCATGTTCTGTGGAAGCAGCAATAAAGAAGGGTGTTATGCAGTGGTGCAATTCAGCTGTTTCTATCTGGTTCAGGCGTACCAGTAATGGTGGCGGCAGTTGCTCCACCCACCCGCCTGGACGCCATCATGTCCTGATTTTGACAGTCTGCGCATGTGTGCACACGCTCACATTTGTGAACTGGTAGTGAAGGTAAGTTGGTTTCACCTCTGGTGTTATGCTATTTCAGCATTGCATTAAATCATTAAGGATTAAACAGAGTTAAACCACTTATGACATTGCTGGTTGAGTTTCTCATTTCTCAATGACCAAACTCGATTTTATGAGTGTTTTTACAATTTTCATTAAGCGAATTACATGTTCATAAATCCAAATCCAGTTTATCTAATGCAGTGGTTCTCAATCGTCCTAATGCCGCGGCCCTTTAATACAGTTCCTCATGTTGTGGTGACCCCCAACCATAAAATTGGTGTCTCGGTTCCTAAGACCATTGAAAATATGTGTTTTCCAATGGTTTTAGGCCACCCCTGTAAAAGGGTTGTTCGACCCCCAAAGGGGTCCCGGCCCACAGGTTGAGAACAACTGAACTAATGGAGGCTTTTGCAGTTTTTTGTTAGAAAATATGGAAAAGTTGCATAACACAATCATGTGATCAAGGGACACTGCAAATGATCGTAAATGCAAGTCTCTTCCCAAGCGCTGAAATGCAATCATAAAATAACAGAGATGGTGCAGCAGTTGTAACTTAGGGAATGGATTAACTTTTATAAATTCTGTTGTAACTTTGAATGATTTTTAAACAATTGTCCATAATACATATACAGCTCTACATATACAGTTAAGAACAACTTAACAATTTAAGACTGCCCCATTGTGGACTGGAGACCAAATGAACAAAATGATATGAAGGGAAAAAGCTGCTGACAGGAAATGTTCAGGCTGCGGGTGGGTAGAAATAGGAACATGGCCAAGGAGGCATTTTTATTCCTTGAAACTCAAGAAGGGCCAAATTAATTGCATCTTAAGCTAATGAAATAACTGCCTGATGAGACACTTGATTAGTTATGTATTATCTTAAAGAAATCCTGGAAAACTGGTAAAGTGCTAGAAGTTGGGAAAAGGGCAAATGCTGTCTCTGCCTTCGTAAAAAGGGAAAAGGTCCCTTTTTACAGAGCCGAGGTGGCACAGTGGTTAGAGTGCAGCACTGCAGGCCACTTCAGCTGACTGCTAGTTCAGCAGTT